CTTGGGTCGAGGGGTGTAAGCAGTCAGATGTCCAGGGAGACTGGCCCTTGCGAACTAAATCGTCTCGATTGCCAGGGACGGAAATGCCTTGCCTGACTGTTGAACCCGAAAGACACGGCCTGAGAGAGGTAGAAGGAGAGGTCCATGCCCTCACCGAAAGTTCCGTCTTCCTCACGCTTCTAGCGAAGGGTCGAGGGAGACAGAACGCCTAATCCCACAATTTGTAGACCGTCCCTGTAAACAAGCAGTAGCTGCCCAGGCATGCACAATCACCTCTGCACGGGCATCTCCACTTTGGATACCGTGGTGCGCGCATTGTCGTTCACTCCCAGAAACAGAGCCACAAAGATGGTGAGACCGTCACAGGTGTTGGGAAGCAGTCAACCGGAAATCTGACATAACTTCGGGAGCGTCTGAGTAAACCCAGCAATCAAGAGCTCAAGTCCAAGCTGCAGTCCTTCTCCTCATAAACAACCAAACTCTGCTTCTGCTTCCGTGGTGATGCTCCTTCATACGAGATGCGGTAACCTGTGTGTATATATGTACAGTAGTTAGATTTTCTCAGGGTATGCAGCTGCTGGTTGGCGGTATGTATCTTCACAGCTGAGCTCAGCTGATGCTCGCAACAGTGGCATGTAAGCACCTGGTGGTTTACACATACAACCAGACTTCCTTGCACAAGAACATGTATGAGCAGCTCATGCTTGTAGTCGGGTTTCCCTTCGAGAAGCTTTCAGGTCCAAGGCAAATAACCCTAAACCCTAAACCCTAATCCCCTAAACCCTAAACCCCTAAACCCTAAACCCCTAAACCCTAAACCCTAAACCCTTAAAGCCTAAACCCTAAACCCTCATGATGTGCGGGTCAAAGCTCCTGAAAAGCCTACAGCCACAGGGTCCCTGCGTGGGAATATTTTCAAAAGTTCAGTGTGGCCTGATCAATGCATCATGAGGGTTTAGGGTTTAGGGGTTTAGGGTTTAGGGGTTTAGGGTGTAGGGGTTTAGGGTTTAGGGTTTGCCATCATCACCAATAGGATTCAACATTCAGTAGAATATGCGATGAGCAGGATCATGCTTGCATTGCACACGAAGCAGCATCGCATGGTAAGAAGTAGCCCTTATGGTCGTGCTGGTGGTAACTGTGGAAACATGACACTGATGAATATGATGTTGATGATGCTGGTTTCCGATGGTAGTTATTGCTCTCGTCATCAACACGACCATTATCGACTTTAGTTGTCATGACAATCGACATCAGTCTGGTGATGATGGCTTATCGTACCCGTCCTTGCCCCTACAAGCACGGCAAACCATGGTGTGTAACTTTAGCCGGGCGCGGGATTCAAGACGTACCTTGGTTTTAAGCAAAAACAAAGGTTTCTGGTGCTAAACGGCGAATTTTTAACAGACATCGGGTGTTTCCCATAAGATCAAGTGGTAATTAAGGCTGAAATACGCAGGCTCCGCACCCGGAATAGGTGTGTTTGGCAAGTCTTTAGTGCCGTGTCATTGGTCAGTTGTTTGGGCTTCAGGGGTTAGAGTCTGAGCAATGTGCCCAGCACCCAGGGGCGTCTTAAATATTCGGCCGCATTTCAGAGCCAAAGAATAGGTAATTGGGTAGGATTGCAATAAAGAAGCAATAGGAAGGCTTTGTCAGAGCAGAACTTGTGTGGAGTCTGTAAGGACTCCGAGAAACGTGGGAATTGCAAGCAAATCCGCACTTTGTTGACACTCACAAGGGAACAGGGGGCGTCTTGAATCCCGCGCCCGCCTAGTTGCTCTGAATGGATCATGAAGTTCTCTGCAAAACGCAGGGCCAAGGGCCCCGCAGCGTTCCTTTCTATTGTACAGAGGGCATAGAACCCAACCCCCCCAAACCTTCAACCCTCGAAGCCTAGAACCCCATCTTCAGAAGCTGTGCAACACTCGGCCTGACGATTTTCGCAAAAGCACAGCGCGGCCCTCCTCAGAGATGTGCGGAAACTAGGGCTTTATGGTGAGGGTCGGGCTTAGGGGCCAAGTATAAGGCGTTAAAAGTTAAAACTGTCATGGGGTTTCGGTCCTTGGGGTTTGGGGTTGCGGGGAAGCCAAGGATCCAGCACAAAAAGTAGTGTAGCCGTCCTGGATCTCATGTGTCTGCAACCTTTGACACACTATTCTTGTCCTTCCAGCAATAAGTCAATCAAGCATCTACAAACTGAACTCCAAGACACACAAACGATCGACCCTAAACCCTGAGAACGACAGTCTTAGACCGAAAGGTCTCCGCCTCCACAAATCCGACTGCCCTTTGACTGCGAAGTTGCCCCCCCCCGAGGAATACAAACCCAGAGAGGGATGCAGGCAAAGATACACACACACACACATGTGCATATATATATATATATATGGATATGGATAGATAGAAAGGTAGATAGCTAGGTAAGTATGTACGTACATATGTATATACACATGTATATATATATATATATATACACATATCTATATATATACACACACAAATTACCGTGTATAAACATAGATGTACATACATACATACATACATACATGCATATACATACATATATATATATATATATATATATGCAGATATACACATATATACAGCGGGACGGAAGCTTACAACACGCATCTTGCAGTCGCTGTGACCGCAAGACCAAGCATATGGAAAGAGCCCTACAATGCAAACAAGCCGAGCTGTTATCACGGATGTGTCGGCTGCCCACGTTTGCGTTGGATGTTTTGCAGCTCGCGTTTTACGGTTGAGCTTCTCGTCTGCTGGCGACCTATGCCATTTCACCTCTCTGTTGCTGCTTCATCTGAGCCACATCACGGAGCACACCCACCTTTGTGTCATCTGCGTAGAAGCCCCAACAAGACCCAGCCGAACCATGCTTTGCGGGAGCAGACACATCCCCAACTACCAACAACATGCCAAGATCCCCAACTTAATCCTGAAGAGCCCCAAGATCAGACTAGAACACAAGCTAGGGACGAGACGATTTGGTAGCGCCCGGCACCGAGCTTTTGAACCTCGAGCCTGCTTTGGGCGTAGACTTGTCTGGCTTTTACATACTTTGTTGTATGTATATACACATACGTATACATAATACCTATTGAGTGAGTATACAAATATGTAGAAGTGTAATCTAATACACGAAGCAACACAAAACCATACAAGTCATCGCATTACATGCACCCCACATTGTTTCAATGCATTGCAATACAGTCCACTTAACTAATCCCTCCCCCTCTTAGTAAAACACCCCCTAAAAATAAGAACACATTGGGGCAAATCCTCCCGAAATCATCCCTGCCCTGTAGGAACCTGCTCTGAATTAGGGGAGGGTTTCGAGATTTCGAAGCTCCAAATACCCTCAGAGCACAGTAAGAGCGAGAGCAAGAGAAGGAGTTAGAGCAAGAGCAGGAGCAAGAGCCGGAGCATCAGCAAGAGCAGCAGCCAGAGCAAAGCAAACGCAAGAGCGGGACCGAGTTTCTATAAGGGGGAGGGGGGGCATTTAATGGTACGGGGAAGGTATTACACTACTTTGCGCAAGGTTAAGCTACAGTTCAATAAAACTACAAAACACCACACCCCGAATTGCGCTACACTAAACAACATCTAGGCTACAGTCGACCAGACATCTAGACCCCACCAGGCTCGACTAGCTTACAATACGTACACAGAAGCAAGAACAAAGGGAGCACAGCGCGATGCCTTGCTGCAGTCAGCGTGTCTAGCCGGTGCAGCACACTTGCCAAAGCTTTGTCCAAAGGATCCTCGGCCAATCAACTGCGACCGGTAAAGTCGTCAATCGAACGTTCGGAAAAATGGGCTGAAGGTTGAGGGAATGTACTGGGCTGAGGAGACACGTGTTGTAGACATGCGCTGCGACTGAGAAGCTCTCTCGGCGCAGCATCAAAACATGCACTGAGTTGCAAGCCGTGCTTACCAAGACCGCTAGCACCATACACATCAACAGTCACACCGAGCCAACGTGTAAAGTCGTTGCGCTGAACATGGTATTGCCCCCTTTCCCGGTGTGTCCACCAGACTCTTACAAGCACTTTATAAGATGCCCATGAGGCCTGAAGTGAGACAGACGCACATCTCCCAAACCAAAGAAAGTCTCGCCCCTATCTTAAACCCAATTATACCCCCATGGCCCATGCTAAGTTCGGTGCCGTGGGATCCAGGCCACCTCTGGCTCTCCAACCTAAGGTTTTAGGGCAACCAGGATTCAGGGGTTCAAGGTTTTTGGGGGCTGCGTGGCTTCGGGTCGATCCTCAACATTGCAAAAACCGTGTTTTTTTGCTGAAGGTGGTCAGGCGGCAGGAGCACATTGGAGTAGATTATGCTAAGTAACAGTCTCCGTTCACAGGACAAAGCTACTACAATACAAAAACAAACTGAACAGCTTGCGTGTTGCAGTTCTGGAGCTGTTCAAAGCTTTCCGTCTCATTTATCTCGCGATCCGGACGTGCCATCGCCACCGTGGTAGGGGGTGAGACATATCTTCATTTTCATCACGTGGCCAGAGCAGCAGGGACCATGTCCTGCCATACTTCCCAAGTGAAGCTACGAATTCGGGAGACGATATGAGAGAGGAAGATAAGGGAACAAGGAGGCTTATTGGTAAATGCGACCACGGTCATCATACGATTCAGTCTAAGATTGTTGTTCCATGAGGCCTTGAGCTTTTTGGCTGAGCCCCAGGAAGACAAAGAGGCGTGTGTGCTTCTTCTTTCACATCGGTACGAGTTCTACTGCACTTCAGGTTGTGTAGGTCCTCGAGGCTTCCCGTAGACTCGTCGATGGTTTGCACCCAATTGACACCCGGATAGAGAACCACACAAAGAAGAGGAACCAGGATGACCCTACATGGGGCGGGACGATGGTAGTGAGAGCAATACTTTGCAGTCGTGGAGCTGTCTAACCGTGTCTAACCCCGATGTAAGCCTGGCATCCGGAGACCTTCAACCCTCTTCCCACGGGTCCTGTCAAAGGCTGCTTTGAGACCTCTGGGTCCAAAGGTGGCCGACGCTGGGCAACACGAAGTCCGGAACGATGCCCTGCATCAGCTTCCGCTTGAAAAGTCTCGAGTAGCTTGAAGCTGTGCTCGTTTCATATATCGGCCTGAAGCATCAGTGAAGCAGATTGCATTTCGTAACGATACTTACTGGGAGCCCTATACAGGGAATAGTATTCGTAATTATTCAGGATCCTACCTTGGAAGGCTTGGAAAGATTCCAGTTTTATTACCGAAGCACGGCCATACTAGTAGGGTCGAATCTCAAGATCAAGCGGCAGCATGCCTTGGCTTCAATCTGCGTCAGGTCATCAACTCCTTGGCTTGCGAAACTTGGGTAAGGCGCCCCCGAGAGGTTCTCCCTGTTTTGCTACGTCTTGCGAAAACTATCGCCGCTCCCAGCACTTCGCTCGAAAATATCCATCGTGGTCGAAACAATTATGTAAACCTTCTCTGAACCTTCCTTTTGAGCTCAGGCAATACCAGCACCGCGAAGAAGGAAATGTAGACAGAATGTGTGATGCGATCGGAGCCTCAATATTTTGCAACTGCCCAATGCCAAACGCAAAAAACAGTGACAGAACAGCACAAACACAGATTACCACACAATTTCAATACCCTGCATCCCTATCCTCCTTGTATCGCAGACTCCTCAACTCTCCGAACAAGGCCAGACACAGAACGAAATCGCTGACTTACAACTGTTCTCGAGCTGATTGCACCAACCCTTAACCCTATAAACCCTTACCAAGCAGTGGTCGCCAGGTGGCCGGTGAGCACATGCAGTGACAGCATGCCAGCTCGCCTGCGAGCAACCCAAAGGATTTGGGCCTCTCAAAGGACCTCCAGGCCAAATATAGGGGCCTTAATAATCAGAAAAGGGTTCCCGTTAAAGGGATCTAAAGTTAGCCTATATTTTCGGGTTCCCATTAAAGGGATCTAAAGTTGGGGTTCTATAGTTCTATAATATGGAGGCCTTAACTTAATTATATTAGTTAGAATAGGGTTTTGGGGCCCATTGTACTATAATTATAATAAGGAACCCACTATAGTACAGTAACCCATGAAGGAAGCCATTTTCTCTGGTGCTAACCCTGTTAAGAAGCCGAAGTCTGCGAAGAAGTTGTCCCTTGATGTTACTATGCGTGTCCGCGAGGCCGTCCCCGCATGAGGACTCAACGAAAGACGCTGGGAAGTCTTGTCAGCGCGCAACTGATAAGGAAGGGGTGGAATACGGTGGAAGCAATGGGTTGCGACTCATGGCAGAAGTGCTCGGCTCGAAGAAGTCATTGCCTGCAACTCATTAGGACGAACACCTATGAAACCAGAGTTTTTCTGCAACCCTCAACCCTAATGGGATCACCTGCCCATCTCGATGTCAGTGTCGAGGCGATCACCCACCTCGGAAAATTGTTGCTATCTACGATCCTAGAGGAATGTTTCGTCTTTACTCGACTGCCAGAGCTTGATGCGTGGACGGGTCAACAGACAGTGGACACATAGGGCAATGCAACAGTACCCATTTTGAGTATAGCTTCAGATTAAGCATTGAAGTCTGCTGGATGATTAACTAGTATTAATCCGGCAGAAGGGGACTCATTGCCAATGAACTGAACATCAAAACCTTGGGGATACGGAGTGGACAGTGCCAGATAGAAAGCACAGCGGTTATGTCAGGTCGAGCATTTGTTGCAGGGAACACCCTTGTAGTGTCGAGGCACCATCACGGTGCGTCGCAAGTCCAGGCCGTGCCACTCGGCGACAAGCTGAGCGTAGGCTGGGTTGGGCTTGCCCAGCACCTGATTTGGGGTTAGGGCCTGCCAGGCTCTTTAGTCGGTTCAAGCAGGCTTAGCGTCCCTGGTCAAGGGAGAGATCATAAGTTGCCATCGCCATCTTTTGTCGCGTAACAGTGTAACTGGTATAACACTGCAATTTAATGTTGCGGTGCCTCAACGAGATTGAAAATGTAGATGGAAATCATGGACAGCATCATCGGCATCGCGTCCACCATAAATTATGCCATTAATGCTGCCAGTGCCGCCACCAGCCCCAGCACCCAAAAGAACCATGACCGCCGAACACCAGAAGCAGCAGCAAAAGTAGCCCTTGCCAGCCCTATGAACTCCATCCAAATGACTCGCAATCGCCCTCCATCCGAAGGCCTATTGTTACTATTGTTACTGATACTGTTATTATTCATGTTAGTATTAGTACGAACCATTCGTCTTATCACTATTATGATTATTATTCATACGATTATATATTAGTAATACTTTTCCTACTATTACTAATAATATTCATACTACTCCTACTATTCTTCTTGCTACTATTATTGCTAATTCCTTCAGGGCCCAATGCTCCGAGGGCCGAAGGCCTCGGCCTCTTGGCCCCAGGGCTTCTCTCGGCCGCTGCGCTGCCTTGCGCAGGCGCAGCAAGCGGCCTGCAAAAGCCCATGTAATGTAGGGGCCCTCATAGTCATGAATAGGGTTCCCCTTAATAAAGGAGTCTATAGGGGTTGCGATAAGGGCTATTATAAAGGTAATATGCGGGCCTTAATACTTAGAATAGGGTTCCCTTTAAAGGGATCTGTAGTTAGGGTTCTATAATATAGGTCAAAATTATGGTCCCCTTTTTGGGCACCCTAAATATTAGGCGCCGTGCTATAATAAGGACCCTAAAAGGGACCATAAGTTTGACAACCACCCATGTAATATGGGGGCCTTAATAATCAGAATAGGGTTCCCTTTGAAGGGATCTGTAGTTAGGCTTCTATAATATAGGGGCATATGGGTGGTTGTCAAAATTATGGTCCCCTTTTGGGGCACCCTAAATATTAGGCGCCGTGCTATAATAAGGACCCGAAAAGGGACCATAATTTTGACAACCACCCATGTAGTATAGGGCCTTAGTCATTATGAATAGGGTTCCCTTTAAAGGGATCTGTAGTTAGGGTTATACGGAGCCCCCCCAAAATGGTATTGGTAATTATTTATTCGGGCCAAGCCCTCGTGTGCATGTGTGTATGTCTGTCTATGTCTTGGCTTGTCAATCGAACTATCTATCTGTCGAGCCCAGCCATCTACAGTACTTGTCAGTCTGTCTGCCCGACTCCTGCCTGCCTGTCCGTCCGTTTATATATATATATATATATACACACATATATTCATATATATATATATATATACATATACATATACATATACATATATATATATATACATATGAAGATGTATATGTGTGTTTGTAATACATCTACATATGGAGTCAGGCTACAGACATAGAGCCATATGTATATGTACAGCATACGTGTGCCTACAAGTATGCATGTGTCTGCGTAGTTGTCAATTTAGAAAGTCCTTGCAATTGTGGCCCAGTCAGTTCTTGATAGCTCCATCGTTTAGTTTGGGAGCCAGAAGGAGCCCTTGTTTCGACAACCAGCCATGTGGACATGTATGCAAGTATGGGTGCACGCATACACATATGGATGTCTCGGCTTGAGGTATTACGGTTTCGGCATGGTGTACGTGACACTTGGAAAAGCACTTTGGTGGGGGCAGTGGGTGGCTGTGACCCCACCCCTGCTCCGCAACCGCATGCCATGAACGAACAGATCTTGAATCCACGTGGATTAGCGTACTCGTTACTACTGGTAAGGGCTCAGAAGGAACCCCTTGGTGTCATGTGGCTGGTCCGATGTCTTCGTGGAGCAGCATGCGTAGCCATCCAGCAGGTGTTTTTTACAAGCATTTGTGTTGTTCTCCTTTGCTAGGCAGAACCTGGAACGGTCCAGGCTGACACAAGATTGTCTGGAGGCTTCGGGACAGGACCCAAAGCGGGCTGCAGACTTGCTGGAGAGGTTCCAGGGTTCTCATTCCTAGAGTGTGATGAATGTGCCTTTGTGCTACCGGCCTCCACGGCTTTGAGCAGCGGCCCGTTTCCAGGCAGCAAACACCTGGTCGGCGAGGTCAGAAATCTAAACAGGCAATAGGCCGGAAAGCGACCTATCTCCCTGAAAAGAGCCTAGGACTTCGGGTCTAGGTGCCTTAACATCGGTCAAGAGATTACATAAGCCATGCAGCTGGTCAAAAGAGTATACTTTCAACATGGTCGCTCGTGCTAAAAGCCATTGGCGCTTACCAAAGACTCTGCTTTCGTGCCAACGGGCTATGTACCCGTTACCCTTGGCATCTGGAAACAGAAGCGGACGCTGATTGAGCGAATCATGCTTCATGCTGACCGATCAGGTGTCTTCCGGTCATCCATAGGCCGAGAGCTGTCACATCATCTGATGCGGAGACTGTTTCTCCTTTCGCCACCACGTCACTTCGATCACATGCCACTTTTCCGGCATATGGAAGATGGAGCCTTCCGAGACTCGAGAAAGCTAGTCGATAATCCCACAAGCCCTGGTGTAGTCTTATGTTAAGTGTAGTGCCAGTTCCGGTATGCACATGGTAGGATCAGTCCATCTTCGATCTCGGCTGTTCGACTCCAAGTTGGGCTCCTATGTCGCTGGGAGACTGTGGGAAGAGAGGGGCCTTGCAGACATTCCGAAGTTTTCCCACCGTCCCTAGGTAGCAGTGAAATGTCCTGGCACCGCCCCGGCTCCCTTTGAAATCTTGCAAATGCACGGATTTCCATGCCACTATTACTATCCGTAATTAGCAAAGCCAGCTGCTTGCATGCCTTGCCCTCAAGAGGAGCGTCTCATCTCATGCAAAGAATGTGAGATGATAGCTGGATCAGAAGCTGCGCTGCATTGTGGTGTCCCTGATCTGACATCGACTTCGTCGTTGGTACGCACGGGATGAGACCATAATGCAGCATGCCTGCACGTGCTGCCTCCATGGTAACCTCCGAGTAAGCATGGCCGTCTCATGAAATCCGGTTCCATGCATGCACTCTTTTACGTGCATATGGCTTGCACCACGCCAAGAGTTCTGAGGACGCCGAGGCTTAGGAAAAGCCCAGACTTAAGCAACTACAACTGCATGCCTCTGTCCGTCTGACCCAATCCAACCATAGGCTCCGTGCGCGAGGTACCCCTGAAGGTGAAAGGTTGGCACACTGAGGGATTGGTCAAGTTTCTGTTGGCAGGTTCTACAAGCACGCAACGTGGGAGCGAGATCTTATGTTGAGGCTTCGGTTGAAAGGCACTTCTGAGTTGTCCGGACATTCTTTTTTCCTGGGCTTGCCTACTCCTCAGCTGCGAAGGGCACTCCATCTTGACAAATCTGGCGCCTTTCATGGGGCGCACCTGGGATCAGACACCGGTGGGTATCTGAGCGGCTGAGACAAGGGTTCACAGCTTCGGACTGAGATTGCACTGAGTTTGCGCGGTCGTCTAAAACACAATTTATATGAGCTTTCCCTTCAACGTTCCCCGATCTCAGTTCTAGGTCCTATAAGCTCTGCCAAGACTAACGCGAAAACCGTGAAAAACAAGTTCATGTGGTGAACACAAGACTCTCTTGTAGTCACTAGTACGACTGAAGACTGCAGGTTGGACTCGGCTAGAGATACGGCGTGCGGACTAGGTCTGCCTATGTGAAGCTCATTGCAAGGTTCGTTGCGAAGGAGCTTCTGGTTTAGGAGTCTCTTGAACATCGCACCTCGGCAAATTTTTGCGTCTCTAGCCTCGGATGGTCAACCCAGCTTCAACCACATGAAGCTGCAGAAAGCGAACCCCGCTGCTCCCAAAATTCTCATGACATCATGACGTCGAACTTAGGAAAACCTTCGGCAGACTTCATGGCCGGAATCACCGCTTGTGCCAAGGTGCGAGGATGAATAAGCCCTGTTGCGAAGGGACACGGCAAGCGCAATGCCGGCAGCCGCCACCGGGCAAACCGGCAGCAACGGAAGAGCTACCATCATCGACCAGTTGTTGGAACCTTCCAACAGGAGACATGTCGTCGAAGGCACATTGTAGAAGAAGTTGAAGGTTCTCGCAGCAACCCCTGTGTAAAAAACTTACATGAGCTACATGGTCCAGAGCTGGAGCAAGAGCCACAGCGGAATCAAGATCCCAACTTGACAGTAGAGATCAAAATGGACCCACAAACAAACAAAAAAGATATTGTATTGTGGAAGCCAATACAAGGGGAAGGGGTTAGTCATGGCAGCCATTGCCGCTATGAGAAGCGGCTTGCCTTCTGGACCTGTTCGATGGCCTGAAACCTTTCCGCCGGCATCGTCGGACTGGATCTTTCGCAGCGCGGCCTATGCAGAACGGGAAGGCATGCCAAGAAACACGACACTGCAAGCCCTCCCGCCCAGCAATGGGCTCGAAGAGACGCGATATGAATGAAATACCTACTCACACTCACGCCCCGCGAAAAACAAAACCTGCACGCAAGGGAACGGGGTCGAACCTGCAGCCTGCAAAGCAAAAGTGTATCAAAACCTCAAGTGCACCAACACTTTGCACCAAACAACAACTTATGGTTCCGAAGACTTGTTGTTCTTGTTGCTCAGGGCTTTCTTTTCTATCGAGTTGCCCTTTCTGCCAGAGGGACTCGAGCTTCCAGCTTCTAAGGCGTGCAATTCTGGAAGCAATGAGTAATCGGTATCCTCAGGGTGGTCTACGTTTAACCGACGGTAGGCTTACTCGTGTCATCGTTGGGCGCTGGTGCCTTCGGAGAAGTGAAAAAGGAGCGATAAGAGCGGGTAGCCCAAACCAAACCGACCCTAAACAAAACCCCAAGCTGTAAACCCAAAACACAAAAAAAAACAAACACACCGGGCCTTGAAGTCCCGGTCTAATGTGCCGAAGCCTGGTTGCGATTAGGGGTGTCGTTGTGTTGCTTCTTTTCGGGTTGAGGGTTTAAGGGTTTAAGTGTCCATCTGCGAAGCTGGGGATGGGTTTGAGAGTCACATTGGAGAGTCGCGAAAGGCGCTGGTAACCACAGTAAAGTTCGGAGTGCGCACATGCTTTCAGGATAATGGCGTGCGGTTAAAAACATGGTACGTATGTGAAGCTTAGAGTCAGCTCACGGTACCGAATTCGGGGTTTTTGGCCGAGCATCAGAGATTTAGAACTTCCGGACGGGATTCGCGGATCTTCCGATAAGAAAATGTGCTCAGCTTAGCGGTGCACGTTGCTCCAGGATGACATGCGCAAATCAAGCAGGGCACCGGTTGACTTATACAAAAGGGTAACCTATCGAGTGCAATGAACACTGGAATAGGGATTTGGGCTAGATTATAAATTAGGGTATAGAAATGTACCGGGACTCGGAAGACTGTGAGTCCTTCTTCAGACGCCTACAATCAGATAACCATGGCCCTAGGTCGGAGGCGATGATTGAAGACTGGTGGATAGTCGTGGGCAAGGGGGACCAATGGCTGACTCTGCTTCGCGTCAAGTTAAGGCAACTCCTTGGTGAACTCGTGCTCCCCTGACCTTTAAACGGGGCCTCAAGCAGGTAAATTAAAATGGGAGTATACAGAATCTAGCAATTATAAGGAACTATACTGGTAATTCTTCGGGCTTCTGTATTCGTCACAGAGAACTGTGCCTTTGACTTGCAAGAGCAAGGAAGGCAAGCTAAAGAACCTGAACATACCCGAACTTGAAATCTAGGCCACGTGGCGATCGTAGCAGCTGCGAAGCTCTTTGGCTCCCAAACCGCGACGTGAGCATCGGAGTTCCCCGCAGATGATCTACGGACCAGGAGTTCGGTAAGGGACTGCAGGAGGATTCCATAAACAAAGGTTCCGAGTGTCCAGAAACCTATCCGGTCGAGTTCAAAACTCTGATTCGGAGGGTGTTCAGAACCTCATTGCGGGTTTGGAGGATTCGAACCTTTGGTTGGGACGTGCGCAGATTCAATGGAGGATCCTGCTTCAGTCTAGCCACTTCAAAACTGAACAAAGGTCCCCGACTGTCCAGGTCTTGGGCGCTTGAAATGCTCGTGCCGGGACAACCCAGGCCGAACCCCACATCCAACACTGCGCACAAGGCAAGGGATGGCAAGGGGAATCCGGGCGATCCACTCAGGGATCGGAGAGCCCCACACCCTCAAAACCCATCAGCCTAAACCCTATAAACACCAATCCCCATAAGCCCTGCACCTGAAATCCCATACCCCCTAAACGGCAAACCCCCCATAAGCTCGATAAGCCCTACAAACCCTAAATCCTAACTAGGCCCCCAGGAGAGGCTCTCCGAGCTCGTCCTTGAAAACGGTCGGGTCCAACACGTCACCTTCGGCGAACTTCTGCAGCTCGTTTGACTCCTCGATGCCAAGGGTCCCGTTGAGGGATCTATAAGTCCTTAAAGGTACTATAAGGGTTTAGGGTCTAGGATATATAGGGTTTAGGGCTTCGGCGCTCACACTCGGACAATCCAGGCGAGGCGTGTGGTTCGAGGTCTGCTAATACTGCGTGAAACGTTTAGGGTTCGGGGGGAGCAGAATTAGAAGAGACTTTGCTGATTCTTTGCCGGGTCGTGGGGAGTGGGAGTTCGAGGTTTAGGGCTCAGAAGGGGTTTTGACGAGTTTGAGTTGTTGTACTTTGTGGTTTGTTTGTGTGTCGGGAGCCAAACGGCCCCGGAGACTATTGTGGGAATCTCAGAACCCATAATGACAATCTCAGAAACTATTTGCAGGGCCTCAAAAACTTTGAGGATGGTATTTTTGAAGCAACTATGTCCAACCGCGCAAAGCCGTTCGGAACCGTTGTAAACCGTTCCAAACCGTTCCGAACCGTTCCTGAGATGCATCCACGACCACGCTGAACCGTAGGAACCGTTCGAAACCGTTCCAAACCGTTCCTGAGATTTTCCCCGAAGCCGTTATTGGTATCACACTTGTGCGATCGCGAGGTACCTCAACACTTGTGATATGGTTCCTGAGAAATGTCAAATGGTTCCTGAGAGACATGTATGGTACGACACAAACACCGAAATAGACAAACCACAAAGTACACTAAAGTTTGAGGTTTTGGATT